ACAGCTGCACGCACATGCCCTTAGACGACATGGATAAGGAAAGCCAGCAAGTCTTTGGCCTACAAGAAGTGTAAATGTAAAGTTAAGACAGAAAAGAGGCTGGGATGCCATCCCACCCCTAGGGTGCTGGGTGCCTTGTCCCTCCCTTTCAGGCCCCCGAGGACAACTTGTTCAGCTCTTGCTTCCTCCCCCAGGCACCCCCCATCCTGGCATGGCCTTTCCGCACCCCTGGACTCTTGTGCTTTTAGAGGGCAGGTGCCCACCTCCTGCAACCTTCCACCTCCCCTCTGCCTTCTTGAAGGGCCGTGAAACCATGGCCAGCTCCCCTTTAACTGCATGTGGCCCAGGATCTGAGAAAGTTGTGATGGCTCGTGCCCCCTTCATGACTCAGGTAGTTTTTACTTATAATCTACCTACCTGCCTCACAGGTAAGCTGGATTGAATAAGGCCCAGTGAGTGGGGAGCTTTCTACATGTTAGCTCCTCTTATCTGGATGCACCACGCCAGAGTCCCTGGGATTGACCCTGTAATGGGTTAAAAAAAAGCGGCTTTCCTACCCAAGGGTATTGACTGTGAGGCAGAAAATGCAATTAACCTTGACCAGTTTAGGTCACTGGCCCAAGCCTGCTTACTGCTGCTGCTTCAGTGCCTTCCCTAAAGAACAGACAAACCATAGAGAACTAGAACCAGGCCCTCCAGGAAGGAGCACCAATATGAATTCTCCTGACCTCTGAGTTTCAAAATGATTCTAAGGGGCTCATGAATCATTCTGGGCACTATATAGAGAGAATTAAAAGGATGCACGTGTACATACTATTATTTTCAAATGTGTGTAGGTGCTATTGTGGTTCATAAAATGTAAATTTATTTTTTAGATGGGTGCTTAATACGTTGTTTTGACCCACTAATGTCCTTGTGAAGAGAATAACCTCTGAGGTTTAGCTGGATTTGGGTGCTCTGCCTCAGCTCGCCTGTCCTGAAGATAAACAGCATCAGGCTTGGAGCCCCGACTTTGTGACTAAACAGTAATCACCTGTCAGCGTGAGTGCCTGTTTCTCCAGTATAATCAATGGCACAACATTGAGCACACAACACACGGGTTAGCAAAGCACCAGGGCAACTGCCAGCAAAGGGAAAAGGAGACAGAACTCACTGGACTTTGCCATCCCACCAAAAGAGAAAGCTGGCTGCCAGAGAATATTCCAGAAAGCCCCAACTTAAGTCAGGGAGACCACGGAGAGGGACTCCTAGGACACGGCTGGCATCTGGAAGTGCAAGGCCAGGAAGTTTTAAATTCCTAAACCCTAGGGCCTGCCAGAGGCTTGCTGTAGAAACCCACCACGAGGGTCCAGCTGAATGTGACTTTCCCCCCAAAGACTGCCTGGGGCCACTCCACCAGCCACAGGAGTGGGTGCTCCAAGGGAGGGGCGACTGCAACTCTGTGTGAAAGGTGTCGCAGCGGCTCTCAGTAGATCCTGCCTTTGTGTTTCTTCTGGGGTTTTAAACTTCATGGGATTCCGCTCTAAGGAGGAGCTCTGCTCCTACCTCTCTCCCTCCCTTCCCTCCAGCCTTGGAGACACAGCAAGGGAAGATGCTTGCCTTCATTAGTCTCCACAAGAGCCTCGTAGCTCAAAACCATGCCTCCACCATGGGTAAGTGGGAACCTGAGGGAACTCTGACTTCATGGTGGGGAGCAGGGGTTTCACCAGATGCTGAGAAATAATGATAAAAAGATCCTTTTTCACTGATAAAGGGAATGTACAATGGGATGTGTCTTTTTTTTTTTTTTTTTTTACAACTACCTGAAAAGAAAAGCCATGCTTCCTTTTTCTTCCTGTGAAGTGGAAGAACTCTGAGTTTGGATCTGCTGAATTTAATGTTCTTACCAGCTAAGAGCCCTACAAGTGTAATTGAGCTGCCAACCCATGAGTATGAGTTGTTTTTGTGGAAGACATGATTCTTTTTTTTTTTAACATCTTTATTGGAGTATAATTGCTTTCACACAATGGTGTGTCAGTTTCTGCTATATAACAAAGTGAATCAGCTATACATATACATACATCCCCATATCCCCTCCCTCTTGCGTCTCCCTCCCACCCTCCCTATCCCACCCCTCTAGGCGGTCACAAAGCACCGAGCTGATCTCCCTGTGCTATGCGGCTGCTTCCCACTAGCTATCTGTTTTACGTTTGGTAGTGTATATATGTCCATGCCACTCTCTCACTTCGTCCCAGCTTACCCTTCCCCCTCCCCGTGTCCTCAAGTCCATTCTCTGTGTCTGGGGGAAGACATGATTCTTATCAAAAGTCCACGTGATTTCTATCACAGAGGCGCAATTTCCGCATGGCTGCCCCAGGCTTCTGCTAATATGGCTGTTGTATGTAAGGAAGCGAACTTCTTCAGCCATTAAAACTCACACCAGGAGGGACAGATTAGGGGTATGGGATTAACAGATACAAAGTACTGTTTATAAAATAGGTGAACAACAAGGATATACTCTATACCTCAGGGAGTTACACCAATTATCTCGTAATAACCTGTAATAGAGTATAATCTGCAAAAATACTGAATCACTGTGCTGTTCACCTGAAACTAACATAATATGTAAATCAACTATACTTCAATTAAAAAAAAAACTCACCCCAGCTGATCACAGTGTAGTAGCCAGCTTGGTGCAGAGGACAATTTGTAGGGAAAAATATTCATAATATGCAACTGTCTCTTAGTATTCCATTTCAGTTGCTTTGAGAGAGATAACAGTACAGCACATGCTGCTTGAGACAGGGTTAAGCATATTTTCTCTGTTCCCAGAAGAACCTTAAAAATGACTTTAAACTCTTCCCACACTCTGGGGCATCAGTAAGGAAAGAGTTGACAGCCCCTGCCCACAGTGACAGTTGTTGATGGAGTCCTTTGAAAGACCTGGTTTGTGGCCCACTGCCCTGAAGTCCCCGTGTGATTCACAACAAGGCTCTGTTGTGAGAGTAGCTCTTGCTGGTGGGAGACCGAAGGGTGTAAGAATGGGGCCAGCTGCCTCAAGGTTATGTTGTGGGCGGGAGTGTGAGGCCAGCAGAAGAGCAGGGGAGGTGCCCACATGGCACCACCTTCCTTAGTTGAGCTGTCCACTCACTCATCCTTCCAATCCTGCAAGGGTAAGCTTCTTAAGATACTTGCTGAGAGACTTGATATCCTGCCCTAGTTCTCCTTGGAAAAGTATAGGGTGAGCTGGCAGAAGGGACAGAGGTGAGGGGTAAACCTTTTGAAGTCTTAAAGATCTGTCTATTCCAGGAGCAGGGCCAGGTCCTTCTGTAATTACCCATGGCCTTGGGCCTTGTCATAGGTGAGATAGTTTGGATCTTGTAAGACCACCTTGATTTGCATGCAGAATTAAACACAGATCCACCAGAGATGAGCATCTCAGCTGAGCTGTGGAGACCACTGGGGACAGGCCCAGAGATGCTGTCTTGCAGAGCTCCAGCTGTTCTGACACTTCCCTGCAAGTCATTCTCCCAGCTCATCAGAGATACCCAGGCAGGTCCCTGAGGAGAAGGTTATGGGTTTAGAAGTGGCCTCATTTCTTGACATTTTGTAAAACCTTTTAGCCACCCCTCCACCTTCTATCCATTGATTCAACAAATAATTATTGAGGACACACCTGCCATATGCCAAGCCCTGTGCTAAATTCTGGGGGAGGGCTCCTACCCTCATAAAAAGTATGGTGTAGAAAGGGAGCAGATGATAAATAAGTAAACAAATCAACAAGATAATGACAGACTGTCAGTGCCATGAAGGAGATAAACAGGATAAACAAATGAGATAGACAGTGAGAGGGAGGGGCTGTTCTGTAGGGAA